GCTGAAGCCCCAGTACTTTGGCCACCTGATGCGAAGAGCTGACTCACTGGAAAAGACCCTGATGCTGGGAAAGATTGAGGGTAGGAGGAGAAGGGGACGACAGAGGATGAGATGGTTGGATGGCATCACTGACTCGATGGACATGAGTTTGAGTAGACCCCGGGAGTTGGTGATGGACAGGGAGGCCTGGAGTGCTGCGTTTCATGGGGTTGCAAAGAGTCAGACACAACTGAGCAACTGAAGTGAACTGAACTATCCTAAATTATTACTTTTCTAATGGTAATCTCAAGAATTGGAGTACAGGAGGACAACTCAAAGCACAAAGTCATATGATAAAGGATAAAATGGATATATGAATGTGAAACACATTTATTGGCCAGAATATACACCATTTTTCTGTGCAATAAATCAAATTATAGAAAGAGACTTCTTACCTGGAGTCTTGAAGTTCCTCAGCTGAGAGGGAGTGTCATAGACTTCCAGGATCCAGTCACCGGCAGCTCGTTCTCCCCAGCAATGAATGGTCATGAACTCCCAATTTTTAAATCCTTCCATGGAATGATCAAAAAGCCTGAGAGAGAGCCATAAAACATTGCTTTTGTGTGTTGTTTAAAATCTAGTGAGGGTCCAGTCAAGACCTTGATCAATGAATGACTTCTCTGTATCCATCACATGTTCAGTTCAGCCCTGGAGATTGTCTTCATCCTCGGCATCACCAATTAGTAGATCCAGGTACACATATACACACACACACACACACACACACACACACGCACAGAGCTAATCGCTGGAAAACAGGCATGGGACTCGCCAATGTGGTAACAAATCTGGGAGGGATAATGACGTGGGTATCAGGGAACCAAGGCTAAAACTCTGCCCACAAGCCTGGTAGTACCAAGAATTGGAGATGTGTAGCAACTGAAGCTTGCTCACACTGCTGATAGATATGTAAAATGGTGCAGGTGCTCTGAACAACAGTTAGACATTTCCTACCATATGACTAAGCTACCCCCTCCCACCAGATATTTATTTACCCAAGAGGAGTAAAGACATGTGTCCCCACAAAGAACCCCACATGAATGTTCACAGCAGCATTATTCATAATTGTAAAAAACTGTCAGCAACTCAGATGTCCATCATCTGGTGAACGGGTAAATAAATTGTGCTATACTCATACAAGGAAACACTACCTAGTAATACAAATTTGAATGATTAATAACTGCAACAACATGAATGAATTTCAAAGGCATTAAGCTAAGTGGAAAAAGTCAGACACAAAAGATTATGTACTATCTGATTCAATTTCATATGACATTATAGAAAACACTACTTATAACAGAAACAGATCAGTGGGTGCCACGACCCAGGAGGGAGGAGGCAGGGGCATGATGGAAGTTTTGGGAGCAGAGAAACAGTTTTATATCTTGAAACTAATGTATAGTTATGCAAGTATATATTTATCAAAACTTACTCACTTATTTACATTGAAAGTGAATTATATGTAAATTACCCCTAAATGAAAGGACTATGCCCATTAATATTACCCAGTTCAGGAAGTCATGCCTGGAACTGGAGCCTAGATTCTGTCCTTCCAGTCTGTCTAATAATTTTCTAATTCCCTGTATGAAATCTTTTTCTGCTTGAACCATGTCCAGTTACTAGGATATTATCTATCCTTCAGAGCAGATAAATACAAAGGTTACAACAACTGGATGTTGATAGCTATTTATGACATAAAGTCAACTCTCCTTGCATTAATTTCATGTTCACCAAGGAAACTGGTGGCTATAATTTGAACTTCTGTGTGGTTCTTCCCATTGGGAGAAAATACGCCCTTCTAAAAACAAAACCAGTTTAATCTCATTGTAACTAATACATAACAACTCTGATTTTTTTTGTGTGTGTGTGTTATATAAATGTGTTTGAGGCTCCCTCTAAAATACCAGCTGGCTTCTCAAGCTGAAGGGTTGGATGGTGTAACTAGGGACTGTGTAAGGTAAGTGGCTGATACTTGGAGAAGAACAGTAAACAGAAAAATCACCTGTTATATGTTCCTGAGCTCTTGAAAGAAGAAAAAAGTTATTTTTAGCAGCATTCTCAGTGTCCCATGTCCAGAAAATTGAGAAGGCTGAGTTAAAGTTGAACAGATCTCTTTACTAGAGAATGTTACAGATCTTTGAATATTCATATATGTTTTGTGACTTTTTCATATAAGTTTTGAAAATCACTGCCTCCATTCATAATGAAGGAGGCCTTTTTCTTTCTTTTTTTTTTTTTTTAAAGAACATCTATACACTATCTGTAAAAGGTTACTTCTGAACAGAAGGGTGTGGTATTTCAACGAGGACCATGTTGGATCGGGCAGCTTTCCCTCATGCTAACAGAGATGGAAATGGTGGCTCCTTACATGAATGTCTTCCCATTGTAAATGATTTTCAATAGATCATGGGTGGTACATAACATCCAGGAGATCCTACAATGCATGCACTGTCACCGTAGGACTTGTTTCACAAGTTAACGCTTGAAACTGGACTTGGCCAGGAAGAAATTGCTGGGCCATTAAACAACTGACTTACATATTGAGTCCTTCATGCAAAACCCAGAAACTGTGTGTTGGCTGAAATGGAGACACAGAGGTAGAGAAGAAGGAATGTTTTCAAATATCCCTTCCTGCCAGAGAGACGTTACTGAAGCGAACATGTTGACACACAAATGGATGGAGGCAGAAAATTGGTCTAGAACCACTTCTCAGCCCTTCTCACTTCTAATTTTGGTTCCAGTTCATTGAGGCTGTTGTGCCATTTGAGGGCAGCGAAACAACAACTTGTCACGGAATACCTTTCCAAGAGTGCTGAACTTAAAAGCAATTCCCAAACAGTTTAGACAGAATACTTGGCTCACTGCCTCAGGTCCAGAAACTACAAAGGAGACTTGAGGCTGCCATCACATGAGGGGCAGTCTTGTTTCCACAACCTCAGCCAACTCTTAATTACTCACGGGTCAGTTATTTGACTGCTGGATTAGCAGACCCTATGTTTCTTCCCTTACACCCTTTCCTCTCCAACTTTGAAAATCATTCCACTGCTATCAATCATTTTAAAATCACATTTGGAATGAAAATTAAATGTAAACTAGTACCCAAAAGAACTATCCATAATTCACTACTCACAAAAGTGTCTTAAAGCCCAAATATAAACGGGCTTTGTCTCTCTGGCTAAATAGTTCCCACCCTGGTCTCTTCATTTTATGCAGGGCTGGAATGCTCATTAATTTCATGTGGACATAAAAGTTGAGGAGAGGAATTAAAACGCAGCCAAATACGATCACTGCATTTTGCTAAAAGAGTTGATGAGGAGAGAAATAGACACTGATTGTTGTTGTTTCAACTAGCTGGGCATTGACTTTTCTAATCCCACCCTTTTATTTTTATTCCAACTCAATACTTAATCTCTTTCCTACCTTTAGTACTGTACTGTTTAAAAACCTTGTGTTCTCTGCATATAACACAAGGTAACATGGGTAGCAGATGAGATTCGTGTTGCAAAGAATATATTTGCTCAAACCAAGTGTCAAACCATTGGACGCCACTATAGAGATTCTAATTGTGCGGCTGTTTATCAGCTAAGAGGTCCAGTGCTCTGTCTGAATGTCTGTGCTCTGTCAACAGAGAAGAAAACAGACACATGTCAGCATTATTAGTGTGGATCAGATGTTAATAAAGCAAGGCCAGTGTGCTGAAAGCTGGAGGAGATTAACTCCATGCTCGTGTCCATATCTCCTATTGCAGTGAAACCCTGTTCTGTCAATTTGACTTCATAATCGTGTGCTCACTGAAATGATATATGCATGCGGTGGCACAAATTATGTAGCCAGTTATTAAAACAGTGCCCCACAGCCCTATCCCTGTGAGCGGTTTTCAAATAAATTGCTTGGATGAAACCTGGTAGAAAGGACTGCCATTAAATGTAGTACATCCTTTTGAGGATTACTTAACTCAGGAAATAACTCATATAATTACTGTAAGCTTTTTCCCTCCCCTTTCACTTAGAAGAGTCAGTCAAGGTGTCAGGGCTACCACATGCTTCTATGATGTTATGGCAACTAAATAATAAGACTTTATAACTACTGACAGCTATGTGTTATCATATTATTATTTCCTAAATGTAAATGGATATTAATTTCAGAATCATCCACGACTTCCTAGACAGTATTTGTGTTCACTACAGAATTAGACATTAATCGAATATTTTGGGAAATTCTCTTTTTTCTGTTTTCTTTTTTTAGAGCTTCATCACAATTTAACATAAAGCTGATAGAATGCGTAAAGCACCCATTTGGCTCAGTTGAAACTGAGCTTTTGATTTTCTTTAGATGTTTGCCTTTTGTAAGTTTTAAATAATTTACTTCTGAAATAGGGTATTTAAAACACACTATTAAGTTTTTTGCTCTCTCCTAAATCATTTCTTTAAGAAACATTGAGAGAAAGGTACTGGTTCTAGAATTTTGGAATACCTAAAAACACGAGTTTCAAAATAAACTTTCAACATGTACACTATTACTAACTTACCAACCCCCAAAGGCATTCATCCTTGTGGGTACATGATAAGTACTTGTAAATAAGTACTTGTAAATAAGTACTTACTTAATCATCTTGAAGATTTATTCTTTAACAGTAGGCTTTATCTAAATATCTGGTTTACATTATAAATGCCTTTGTAAGTGACTTTCACAGCACCCAGCAGCATATTGCTCACAAGTCTTTTGGTGACATGAGAAGAAGAAGAATGTGTTTGAAAAAGTTGGGTGATCTTTTAAATCAGTGCTATTTAAAAATGTGATCTGCAGACTGGTTACGAAGCTTCAGCATCACCTGTGAGCTTATGAGAAATGCATATCCATGGGCCTCTCCCAGACCTTTAGAATCAGCCTCTGTGGGAGAAGGATCCTCATCTCTGTGTGATAGTCATTTGCAAGGTGTTTTGAAAAGCACTGTGTGAATAAGGATTAGCACTTACAAGTGCTTATTATACTGGGAGCTTACTGTATTATCTTATTTACTACTTGTAACAAACTTGTGAGGCAGATACAACTACGTCTGTTTTCTAGATGAAAAAAATCACTTTTCCAAAGTTGAAGATAAAAACGGGTGACATCAAGACAACCCCAGCTCTAACTCCAAAGGCTGTACTGTGTTTTGAATAAAGAAAGAAGCTTTTTCTCATGATGAGGCCTTGCTGGAATGTGAAACTTCCACAGCAAAAGTGTAATTTTGGCAAGTCATACCTGCATTTATATAGCATGACTTTGCAAAATGTCAGTAGCGTGTCACTGAACATTTGGGCAGTGGCAAAAATATTCAGGCAGAAACACAACAGTTAAACACAGTTAATTATAGAAACTATAGGTTGTACAGATGAGAAAGTATACCTTCTTTCCACTTAAGACCATAATTAGAACCAGAGATACACATCTGTAATCAAATTTAGAAAGAGGCAAAGTTTCAGCTTTCAGTCAGAGGCCAAAATCTAGAACTGAGAGCCAATATAACTAAACTAAATCTAAAACCCAATG